GTAGGCCATTGACTGTTTTCTTGTTTCGTAGAGTACATGTTCATTAATGTTACTTTGTTTCTTTTTTTTTTTTGTAGTTAGTTATGATTGTGGTTCTTAATAGTTTCCTTTGGTTCTAATTTTTTGGTGTTTATGTGCTTGCTTTTTTCCTCTTCTATTCTCTCTCCTATCAACAACTTCACTGTCTATTTTGTTTGCTGCCATTAAGGTTATTTCCTAGGCTTTTCACTAACTGGTTAATGTTTTCTCTTTTTCATTGTATGTCATTGTCTAGGGCTTTCTTCCTTGACTGTGGTTGTATTATTTGGTGATTGATGCTTCTGTTCTATTGGAAAGCCTATTTTGCAAAGAAAAGCAAAGGCATTTCTGTCTTTGTAAACATCATTAGAATCTAATATAGATTAAGGGGGTCGACTGGATGGGTTAACCATCAGATTTTCGATTGACCCTTCTTCTTCTTCTTCTTCTTCTTCTTCTTCTTCCTGTTCGGACTACTGTAGCAGCAGTCGAAACAGATTCAATGAGGTGCCTTGCCTCCAAATCTCTGTATTGGCATTAATTCATGGGGTAGCTCCAATTATTCAGATACTCATTTTCACAAACAGTAGATCCTAGTATTTTAGAAGGTAAAAGAAATATTTATTCAATTATATCTTTTAGATCATTAGAAGAGAAATATCTGAAATTGAGTATTAATAATATTGGTTAATGTGCAACTTTGAAGCTGAAGTTGGGTAAAAGTCAGAACTCAAGTTACTAAGTGTGAAAGTGACAAGCAAAATGCTAAATACAAGGAGAAGCTCAAGGTTTTGAAGAAGAAAAAAGGTTAGCAACATTTTAGTGATGAAAAATAGAAAAGTAAAAACAAAAATAAAACTCAATAACTGAACTTAGAGAAAAAGTAAGGAGCAACAGTGGAGGAATGAGCACATGTATTATCTGTGTTGAGGAATGCCAGGGACTGGGGTGAAATGTAATTCAACTTTTTATTTTATTTATCAGGTATAGGCAGCTTGATGTTGTTCTTTGTTGTACATGAATGTCCAGATTTCTGACAATCTGGTGCTTTTTTGCTATCTAACCAATCTTCAACTGGTCTTTATCAAAAATATTTTTACCAAATAAAACAATGAAACATAAACTGGGTCTGTTTTGACTTTAATTAACATGGGTTAAGGGATAAAAAAAACGCAGTGCTGCTCCCCCTCCTTTATGTTAACCATTTGTGCCCTGGGCTCCAGTGCTAAACAGTGTCCTTTTGCTAGCATTGCTTGAAAACTAAAAGAAGGATGGTGGTTATCTGAGGTTTGTATCTTTTCACGTAAGACAGAAAATGTTCTATTTGACTATGGAATCTCATCTTATATCTTTTAGTTTTTTTTTTTTTAAGTGGCTTCTGTTGATTGAGGAATACTGGAATACTTCTCATATGACGAATTGTCTTCTTAAGAAAAATATGGACTTTATTACTGAGTTATTTTCATCAGTAGTCTAGATACTAAAATCTTATTGATATACAATTGTAGGTAAGATATCGTTTTTTTGGGTTGGAACATCTCCAAGGGTGACCATCGTGGAACCCAATCTCATAAGGGACATTCTATCTAACAAACTTGGCCACTTTGAAAAGCCTAAATTAAACCCACTTGTCAAGTTGTTTACAACTGGACTTGCAAATTATGAGGGTGAGCAATGGGCGAAACACAGAAGGATTATCAATCCTGCATTCCATCAAGGAAAATTGAAGGTTGTCTCTATTTTGGTTTTTCCTTACAGTTCATTTAGATTCAATAGCACATTTGATGGTCAATCAACCATAGAATCTCACTTGTATAATGAACAAAATAAGAATATGTAGTTTTCACCGTACTTGCCCCATTTTCCCCCTCGTATAATGTATCATAGCTATCCATGCATGTTGACATTCTATGGTTTCTTCTCTGGTATTGATTACAGCGAATGTTACCCGCATTTCATACAAGTTGTCATGAATTGGTCAGCAGATGGGAGGAATTGGCTACACCAGAGGGGTCTTGTGAACTGGATGTGTGGCCTGAATTCCAGAATTTAACTGGTGATGCCATCTCTCGAACGGCATTTGGTAGCAATTATGAAGAAGGGAAGCGAATATTCCAACTGCAAAATGAACAGGCTAAGCTTATTTTACAGCATTTGCAATCCATATACATCCCAGGTGTTAGGTACTGAGTTACTTAGCAGTTACAACTGACTTCCGCACTTTCTAGATAACAGTGTTTAAATCATTCAAATTTTCAATTTACAATTATATTGATTATCTACTTATAAATGCATTTGTTTGCATGATAAATATCAAAGTGCAGCTAAAACACCATTTGTTTTGATTCAGTTGCAACCACAGACGTATGCAAGCCAATTTAAAAGTTCTATTTTTATAAGCAGTTGTTGAAATTGATTATGAATTTTATTTTACGATAACCTTATAGATCTGTCAGACATCATGCTATGATTATATTGTGGGTGTACTTCTCTTTGATTAGATATTAGAACATCATTTTCTTTCTCAAAGATGAGAGATCAGTTTGTCAATCTTTATAGGTCAAAATTATGACCGAAAATGTTGTATTGGTCTTGGCTCCAAGTGTATGGATCCAAGAACTACTGCATCGGATATGTTGTTAGCCTTAAGTTTTCCATTGTAATAACCACAACCAAAGAAAGAGAACCCCTGGCATGTTCAAGACCACAGGCAGGGAAGAATAGCAAACAGTTTCAGGGCACAATATGTTGCTGAAAAAAAAAAAAAAAACAATATCAGAGTTACAGAAAAGAAAAAAAAAACTCAGTCCTGAGTCAAAACCACTGGACCTAGAGCCCCCATATAATTGGCCTCAAGTCCAATTCCTAATACAAATTTCAGCATCTTTATTTGCCTTCATCCTGAAGAAGAAAATTTGAAGTGCATATACAAATATAAATACCCATAATACAAACATAATTTTGGGATTCCATTAATCCAAGTTACAATAATAAAGGGTTTATTTGCTATTCAGTTTATTCACTTTCTCCAAATTATCTTTGCACAGATTCCTACCCACAACAAGGAACAATAGGATAAAAGAAATAGAAAGAGAATTGCAAACTCTGTTAAGGTATATCATTAATAAGAGAGAAGAGGCTCTGAAATTAGGAGAAGCAAGTAAGGATGACTTACTGAGCTTGCTAATAGAATCAAATCAAAGTGAAATCCAAGAGCATGGCAACATAAGTAATGCGGGAATGAGTATTGAGGAAGTGATAGAGGAGTGCAAGCTATTCTACTTTGCAGAGCAGGAAACAACATCAAATTTGCTTGTGTGGACCATGATTGTGCTGAGTAAGCATGTAGACTGGCAAATGCGTGCAAGGGAAGAGGTCTTGCAAGTCTTTGATAACAACAAACCAAACCATGATGGGTTAAATCACCTCAAAATTGTAAGAATTTTCTTAATTTCCTTTGCTTTGAAGAATCTAGTCAGACATTCTACATTTGATTTCTAAAGTTCGTGAAAACTCAATTGCAGGTTACGATGATATTTTATGAGGTTCTCAGATTGTACCCACCAGCATTTTTGCTTCTTAGGTCGATTTACAAGAAGGTTAAACTAGGACACTTCACTTTGCCACCTGGAGTACAATTAGCATTGCCAACAATCCTCATCCACCACGACCGTGGACTTTGGGGTGAAGATGCAGAAGAGTTTAGACCAGAAAGATTTTCAGAAGGGATTTCAAATGCAACAAAGAACCAAGTCTCCTTCTTCCCGTTTGGTTGGGTCCCCGGATATGCATTGGGCAGAACTTTGCCATGATAGAAGCAAAGATAGCTCTGGCTATGATTCTACAACGTTTCTCTTTTGTGCTTTCACCATCCTATGCTCATGCCCCGTCCACTGTTATAACTCTTCAACCTCAATATGGTGCTCAAATCATATTGCATAAACTCTAATTTTGTTTAATTTATGGGAAAGCTCTGAACATTTTTAAGTACTTTTAAGTTCCACGATGTAATTCTTGTTGCATCTATTCTGTCGATTGACAGGTACTTGGAAGGAACTTGTATAATATAGGGCTGACTCTCCTCTTTCCAAGTAAGAAATATACAAATCAAAACCCTATTGTTTTCATCATTTACTGGTTGAAATTTCAGACAACAAAAGAATTATCAGCTTCTTCAAATTTTTAGCTAATGACTGATTAACATAAGGCGTTGTCGATATAAGAATATTCCCATATAATCAGAGAGAGAGAGAGAGAGAGAAATCCTTGTGCTAGTTTCTTCAATGTTAACCTTCCTTTTAATGTCATTGAACTTTGTGAAAAAGAACTACAATTCATTTGAAGAGAGGATTATTTTATTGGACAAATAAGCTAGTTTTACTGAAGTTTAATGATCTCCCCAGTCCTGTTGAAGTCTGTTTGCAATATGGAACAAATAGATTGAGAAGGGAGAGCTGCAAGCAATGCTTTCATGTGAATTGGTGGATGAGCTGTCATGGGCTGTTTAAAACAACATTTGATTTCTACATGCCTGTGAATATTGAGTTGTTTTGGGAGAAAATGTTGGGAGTAGTACAAATCATCCTTGATAGGAAGGTTGGCATTAATGATCGTTTTCACTGCCAATGGTGTTCAGAGTCTCTCTCACAAATTTTGTTCGACGAAAAGTTTCTAGCTCAGGATTTCTGTTTTTCCTTTTACTAAAACTCAAATCATCAGAGTTGTAACCAAATGGTGAAAGACAAGCTTCAGTGTCTTCTCACCAATTCAGTTTGACCAGAGTTTCGAGTTCAAATTTTCTGTTTTTCTTGAGGAATTACTTCAGGCATTCTACATTCACCAATTAATTGGGATTTGGAAGACACTCAAACACAGTTCATCTGTTCCTTTTACTGAACTCGAATGTCAAATCATCAGAGCTGTAACCAAATAGGGAAGGACTATAATCTATAAGTTTCAGTATAAATGAAGTTGAGAGCTAATAACAACCAAATAAAATGCACCAAGAAATTCAGTAACAGAAATTACTTAACATGATTAGATCCACTTAGTTTCAACAAGTATGTTAAACAAACAAGGTAAATTACTTTCTCCAGTCCACTATCCCGATTGAAAGTAGCAGTGGGGATAAGAACAAAATCAGTCCTCCCACCATCCCCAACCTACCCAAGTTTCCATGTAATTTCACAGCAAACCTCTCAAACCTTCAAAACCCAAATTAGTTTCAGAGATTTCATTTCATCACTTGCCATTCAACCTCTCAATGGCAGTAATCAGGCCATGAATGCTGAGCTTTCCACCCCCGTTAGCCACCATACTCGAGAACAACTGCTTGGTCAAGGCTGCTCCAGGTAACACCATCATCCCATTCTCTGTAACCCCATCTACTGCTATTCCCAAATCTTTTAACATATACTCTGCAAAAGCACCTGGATTGAAATCCCTCTCAACCATCCTCTCCCCAAATATTTCCAACACCTTAGACCCTGCTGCTCCACCCCTGATTGACTCCAAGAACCGCCTCAAATCGAGCCCTGCTCGTTCAGCGAACACCATTGCTTCGCTCAATCCCAGTAACATCGAACTAACCTTTATCTGGTTTGCAAGCTTACAGCTCTGCCCACATCCAGCCTCGCCCACATGCGTCGGCCTCCCCATAATTTCAAGCAATGGGGATAACCAACTCACCACTCCATTATCCCCACCGGAGAATATGGCCAACTTCCCCTCTCTGGCACCAACATCACCACCGGAGACTGGAGCGTCGACAGCCCAACACCCTCTTGCACGCGCCACCGCGGCAATGTCTCTGGCAAGCATCGGGTGGCTGGTAGTCATGTCAACAGCAACCCCACCTTCGTTTAGGCCTGATAAGACACCTGCGTTGCCAAGCACGACGGAACGAACATCCGATGGGTTTCCAACTATCGTGAACACGACGTCGCTCACCCGGGCAACTTCGGCGGGCGAACTGGCAATATGGGCACCTCGCTCTTGCAGCCAAAGAGCTTTCTCTGGGTTCCGAGCATAGACTGTCAGAGTATACCCTGCTGACAGAACTCGAGAAGCCATGGCACCACCCATGACTCCGATTCCGATCCAGCCCACACGAGTGTGGTTGGGAGTTATGGGTTTGGGATATGGAGTCTCCATAACTCGATACACAGAAAGGAAACCAAGAGTTCCCTCAAAAGATATCTCTGGGTTCTGGTTCAGGAAATGGAAAGCGAAGCCATCAGTATCGATGACATATACAGGTAGAAAAAATTCGTTCGTGGATAAAGAAAAGGAAAAATTCCCTATTAATACCTGTACTTTCTGTCTAGTGTGATTTTGGTTTCCTAACTTTAAAATGCATGACACTCGAAAGGCATTTATGTCTTTTTAAAATGTCACTTAACAACTGATTAACAACTAGTTAACGGTAGATATTAGATTGTAATATTTTGAAAATTTATTTTAAAGTTTGGGGACCAAAGTGACACTACACCCAAATATAGGGTATTAATCAGGAATTTTCCTAAAAGAAAAAACACTAATAAGCAAGCAATTTTGATTTACAGCTAAAAAAAAAAAAACAATTTTAGTAATTCCTAAGGCCATGATAACCCTAGATCCAGGGGACTCAAAGGGATTTTCTCTTCGAGTCCACTATAACTTTGACACGTCAATCGCTATTCACCTTGCCAATACCTACAACCGATAGTAACAATTGATAAAAATATTTTAAATAAAAAAATTAATAAAGACCCTCAGGGTAAATTCTCGATCAGTACCTTGTAATTTGGCTCGAGTGATAATTTAGTCCTTGAATTTTAAAATGCGACAATCCAGTATCTAAACTTTCAATTTGCAACAATTTGCTACCTAGCGTTAATTCACCGTCAATTTGGACATAAAAAGACACAAATACCCATCTCATTTTCGAATCAAATGTAAGTCATTTTAGAAATGATGAAAATAACCCCCATTACAGTAACCTTCTATTCAAGTGGGAACATTGTTCTACTCTAACCTTCGCTAATAGCAGCCTGAGCAGAGCTCTCCTCGTCGGTGCTAGTGATTAGAATACGTCGTCCGAAAAGCTTAAGTCAAGGGGAAAATATCGCCAAATCGTATAGAGAGTTACACCATTTTATTGGGAAAATATTGTTGGAACAAAGAGCTTTTTCCACCATTATAAGTGCTTATAATCCCAACCTCGTCGGAGAAGAAAACGCCTATTTTGTAGCCGGTGCCGGAGAAGAAAATCAAGTTTTTTTCTTTTTTTTGCTATATTGTTTCTATTCTTTTGCTATGTAATTTAATATAGGGTTTGTTTTATCGACTTTAGTTGATGTTGATGCAATTTTTTTTAGGTTTATAATTCCCTTGTATTATATACACCATAAACAATGACCAATGGATGTCTGGATGTCTGTGATCTGTCATTATTTATGGCGGTCCCCCACATTGTCTGGCAGACATGCATTTGTCTGTATAGATAGAAAAATGTATAGTTAGTCCAATGAGATGCCCACCCATTATCCATTTGTTGGACCCTGTATGCCACTGCCCAATAATGTTCCCGAGTGTTTATCTCAAACATCCAAAAAATACAAAAAAAAACTAAATCCAAGGGTTGTATCATAAGTTGCTTTCTTTTATAAATTATTTATTAGATGTTGTAGTGTTTTATATCATTTAATGTTTGTATTTATTTTTTGCAGATGTTTACTTTTTTTTTTTTTTCACCATGGTATCACATTCTTTGATTTACCATCACAAATTAACTATCGTGGTGATGTTACTTTGTTTAGCAATATTGATGGTGACATGCTTTCATACACTGAGGTAGATGGCATGTTGAAAGACATGGGGTACAAAGGCCAGTGTCAAGTTTGATATAGAAAGCCATGATATGACTTTGAAGATGGGCTGGTCATGCACACATGATAACAACCCACACATAAACCTTTATGTTATACATGAGATGGGTGGTGTGGGTAATGAAATACACATCAATAATGATGGTAATGAAGCCAGCTCTTCAAGGCCTAAGGCACACAATAGTGAGGAATTGTTGATTGATGCACTGGGTGGTCAAAATGAAGCACATAATGATGAGACTGGGGGCTCAACATGGTAATAATGATACACACCCTCAACTTGATGAAGCAACAGATGTAATTGGTCTAGATTTGCTAGATAATTATGAACAATCAGAAGATTTGCATAGTCCACATGCCTCTTGATGTCAAGATGAGAGAGTAGCATAGTTTGAGTCCTTTATAATGATACACACCCTCAAGGAAGCATTAATTCACTTTGCCATAATACATGGGTTAGAATATGATTATTTGAAGAATAACAAAGAGAAGGTTACGGCAATTTGCAAGACCGAAAGGCATTTCAAATCAAAACTTTCAATGATAGGTGTGAGTGTGCAAGAGTGATGCGGAATGACAAAATGTCATCTACATGGCTAGCCAAGAAGTACAAGAGCAAGTTTATGGATAATCCTACTTGGAAAGCCCTTACCATGTGCAATGAAACTCTTAGGGATTTCAAAGTTGATATTAGGGCTGTTTATAAGAAGACCCAACCTGATCAAACCGACCAACTCGGACCGACCCAACTTGAGTCGGCCGGGTTTTCATCAGCACGGGTCGGTTTTGGGTTGTGCAAATTCTTAAACCGATGATTCGGGTCGGTTTTGGTTTTCACACAAGAAAACCGAAACCGACCCGAACTGAACCGACTTAGTTCCTAGTTCAAACATGAAGTTCCAAAGCCCATTAGGCCACCTAGTTTTTGAATGGTTGCAAGAAACTTTGGTTAGTGAATAGTGATTAATGAACAACTTTTGTGATTAACTTTTCATTTAAATTTTATCATAGGAGATGGCAAAAATGATGTTCAATTTATGACTGTTTTTAAAATTAGCAAGATTTTATCATAGGGATGAACTTAGAACCGAAACCGACCCAACCCGACTTAAACCGATTAGGTCGGTTTTGCTTAACACTAGATCGGTTTCGGTTTCTATGTCAGGTAACCCGACCAGGTCGGGTCGGTAGGAATAACCGCAGTAAACTGACCCAACCCGACCCGTGAACAGTCCTAGTTGATTTGGCAAGAGATTGGCCTATAGAGCCAAGAAAAAGGCAATTGTCCAAATCGAGGGAATACGTAATGAATAGTACAACAGGCTGGCTTATTATTGCCATGTCATACTGAACTCAAATCCAAATAGCATTATGAAGATATGTTTCAAAGAAGGGGTCCCCAGACAGTTTGAGAGGATGTTTGTGTGTTTCAATGTAATGAAAGTTGTCTTTTTGGAGGGTTTTCACCCCTTCATAGGGCTTGATGGCTGCCACTTAAAGCCACCTAACTTTGGCCATATCCTCTCAGTTATTTTATTAGTATGGATGGGAATAATTGCATATTTCCAATTGCATTTGTTGTTGTTGAGTTTAAGTGCAGAGACTCTTGGACTTGGTTCTTGACATTATTGTTTGAAGTAATTAAAGGTCCAAAGGAGTGGGGTTGGACCTTTATTTCTGACAAACATAAGGTAGTATACTAATACCATTATATGATTTATTTGTTATATGTATGTATATTTACATACTGGTTTTGTGTGTTGTGATGTAGGGGCTTATGAAAACCTTTGAGAGGTTGTTGCCTAGGACTAAGCACCGATTTTGTGTGAGGTATATGTATACCAACTTTAAACTTCTTTTCAAGGGCAAAGATCTACGGGACTGTTTGTGGAGGGCAGTTAGAGCCTACACACTTGTTGATTTTAATTAGTACATGGAGAGATTGAATGCATTGAACAATGATGCACATGCCTGGTTGAGAAGGGTGCCCCCGATATTGTGGTTCAAGTCTACTTTTGGACCAAGAGCCCAGAGTGACGACTTTTATAATTTCTCTGAATCCTTCAACAAATGGATTTTAGATGCTTGTAACTAATGACAATAGTGTAGTTGGGGTGATTATGAGAGATGAATTTGGAAGTGATTATGAGAGATGAATTTGGAAGGACGACATGGATCAATTGTAAAGATATAGGTGTTTGTACCATCAATGAAGCTGAAGACTGGGTGGCATTGGAAACCCATTCCCTAGCCTCCAGATTCCCTCGTTTGAAGTGTATCATCATCGATAGATTGAATGGAAGGATAGACCCCCTTGGGATGTGAGTAACCTCATAGAGGGCTAAATATCTTGTACCTCCATGCATTCAGAAAAGCTAATTTTGCTGCAAACCGGCTGGAACCATTAGGGTTGGGTAATGATCAAAATACTTCAAGTCCAAATCTAGTTGGTGCTAAGCTGAAGTTTATTTGTTTTGACGCTTGGGGTCATTAATGGGAGTCCAGATTTCATGCACATTCGTCCTTGCAGATCTTTATGTACATCAAATCAGAGGGTGTCATGTCAATATCCTCTCATGCGTAAATTTCACATGTGCGAATGAAATTAGCAGATGTTTCAAATGTCCTCCACTCCTTCTATCCCATTTTTAATATATGAAATTTATACTAAATTTTAAAACAAACAAAAAAAGGGGGTTAAGGGTTTCTTCTTCCTCTTTGTCAAATAAAAAAGGATTTTCTCTTTAATTAGTTGAACATTAAAAAGCAGAAAAACAACTAATAAGATTTTTGACTTACGGAATTCCTTGACCAACTGCAAAACCGCCGGTTCCTTAATCTATCATACAACAATTTCTCTTGTCCAATTCTAGCTTCCATAGCAAATCTTCTCAAACTAGAACTTCTGGGGCCTAGGAGGTAATAAATTGACAAGCATTCCCAACTAACTCACTTTGGATATCACAAAATTGCTTCTTTTCATTTTGACCTTTCACAGAACCAGCTTTCTGTAATATTCCCAAATCGTTAAGCCATTTCAATGCAGAAGTATCTTAATTAGTAAGAACAAGTTTATAGGAGATGCGTTGGCATTATTCAAAACAAACGGAACATTGTTGCGATTGGACTTGCCATGGAATGAGTTCGACTTTAATCTTTTCAGGGTGAAGCTTCCCAAGAGCCTACAATATTTGGACTTATCTCATAACAGGATCAGAGGGAGTTTCCCCAAGGAGGTCATGGAATTAAATTTGTATTGGCTAAATGTGAGCTTTAATTGGCCATACAGAGAGGTTCCATTTGACGGGAAGGTGCAGAAGTGCAGTGCCGGCCACTCTTCAATTGCTAATAGCTTAATTGGTTCACCGTGGATGACAAACATAATGGACTCTAAACCCTTTTTTTATTTGACAAAGAGGAAGAAGAAACCCTTAACCCCTGTTTTTTTATTTGTT